GTCGGCCTTCTCAGTGCATGGCCAATCCATCTCCACTTCTTCCTGCATATTTGTTGCGTGATAGGTTCTTGGTTGGTTCGTTCCCAGAGTTCCTTGTTGCTTATTTTTTCTGGCCATCTGATCTTCAGCAGCGAGCGTAAGCAGTTGTTGATGAATGTCTGTAGTTTATTGGAAATGCCTTTCGTGACGCGCCAAGTCTCTGAGCCATACAAGAGCACTGACTTGACGTTGGTGTTGAAAATCCGTATCTTGTTCCACATGCTGAGTGCAGAAGATCTCCACACTGGTTTCAGGCTAATGAACGCCTGTCTTGCTTTTCCGATTCTGACTTTGACGTCCTCGTCCGTCCCGCCTGTAGTTGAAACAGTGCTTCCTAGATAAGTGAAGGAGGTTACTTCCTTCAAGTTTCTCCCGTTGACGGTGATTGGAGTTTGTTGTTGTTGTTGATGGTGGTGGTGCGGTATCTTCATCACTTCTGTCTTCTCTATATTCACCTGAAGTCCCGTCTTCGCTGCCTCTTCTGTCAACTTGTTAGTTTTTGCCTGCAGATCTTCAAGTTTATGTGACATTAGGCATAAGTCATCGGCGAAATCCAAGTCTTCTAGGTTCTTTTCCGTCGTCCAGTGTATCCCCCTCTTCTCGCTGCCTACTGTTTGCTGCATGATCCAGTCCACCACAATAAGGAATATCATGGGGGATAGTAGGCAACCTTGTTTCACTCCTGTCTTCACTTCAAAGGCATCACTGAGCTTCCCATTGTGGATTACTTGGCATGTGGCATCTTCATATAGTTGTTGAATGAGGCGGATAAAGGTTTGCGGTACTCCGTAGTATTGAAGCAGTTTCCAAATTACTTCTCGGTCGACGCTGTCAAAGGCCTTCTCAAAGTCGATGAAGTTGAGGTAGAGAGCTGATTGCCATTCTACGCTCTGTTCTATGATGATACGAAGCGTTGCAATTTGGTCAGCACATGATTTGTACTTCCTGAAGCCTGCCTGTTCCGGTCGCAGTTTTGAATCCAGTGCGTCTTTAAGCCTCTCCAGGATGATGCGGCTTAATATTTTACTTGGGGTGGATAGGAGAGTGATTCCGCGCCAGTTCTTGCAAGCACTGAGGTCTCCCTTCTTCGGCAGTTTGACAAGGTAACCCTTCTTCCAATCGTCAGGTACCTTCTCTTCCTTCCACACCTTCTGCAATAGTGGTGTGAGCATGTCCGCTGTTGTCTCTGCATCTGTTCTCAGTGCTTCTGGCGGTATTCCATCTGGTCCTGCTGCTTTCCCGCATTTCAGTAGCTTTATGGCGTTCAGGACTTCCATTTTCGTTGGGGGATTATGTTCACTTGTAATTCAGCGGCTGCAGGTGGTATTTCTGGACGAAGTGCAGGTGGTGGTCGATTCAAGAGCTTCTTGAAGTGGTCGGCCCATCGTTTCCTCTGTTTCTCTTCTTTTGTAATTAAATTTCCTTCTTCATCTTTTATTGGTTTCATCTGTGTTGGTCTCTTCCCTGATAGCAACCTGGTTATTTGATACAATGTCGTCAGGTCTCTCTTACCTGCAGCCTGTTCTGCTTCACTTGCCAGTGTTCGTAGAAGTGTCTTTTGTCTTTGCGTGCACTCTTCTTCACTTCTTTATCCAGTGTTTTATACATTGTGCTCAGTTCCTCTTGTCGTTGAGCATCCTTGCACTGGTTTATCTTCTGCTTCACCATCCTCCTCTCCTCTATCAGCTTCCAGGTATCCGTCGAGATCCATTCCTTGTCTTCTTTCTTCTTCCTTCCTAATACTGTTGTGCAGGTTTCTTTCCACATAGCTTTCAAAGACTTCCAGTGTTCTTCCACACAGGTTTCTTCAGGGATGTCCCTCGATATCTCCCATTTTGTCTTGATGGCTGCCTTGAAGATCTCCTTTGTAGTTTCATCCTTCAGTTTCCGAGTGTTGTACTTGAATTGAGGTCTATCACCAGCTTCCTTGAAGGCTTTTAACTTGATTTGGAAGGTTCCTTGCACTAGATAGTGGTCTGAACCTACATCTGCTCCTCTTCTTGACCTTGTGTTAAGTAGACTGCGTCTCCATTTTCTTGAGATTGAGATAAAGTCGATTTGATTTTTAGTGTGTCCATCTGGTGAAGTCCATGTCGCTTTGTGGATATCCTTGTGCCTGAACACACTGCCTCCAATCACCAAATCGTTGAATGCACAGAATTCTGCAAACAATTCTCCATTCTCATTCATTTCACCTAGCGCCTCTCGACCCATGGTTAGTTCTCTTCCCGTGTTGTCCCCTCCCAGTTTGGCATTCATGTCGCCCATTAGAATTTTGATATCGCCAACTGACGTCTTGTCCAGTGTTGACTGAAGTTGTCTGTAGAATTCCTCCTTTTTCTCTTGCTCTGCATTATTTGTAGGTGCATAACATTGTATGATTGTGACCTTTCTTCCTTTTGAGTTGAATCTTGCTGTCATGATCCTGGAGGAGATTGGTTCCCACTGCATGAGAGCCTTCGATGCTCTTGAGGACATCATGATAGCCACTCCCTCAGTGTGCTCGTGGTTGGCGTCTGGGTGACCGGAGTAGATTATTGATTCTCCAGTTGACAGTTTGGAGAGTCCACTCCCATTCCATCTGCTTTCGCAAATCCCAAGCACTTCGATGTTATACCTTCTCATCTCCTTTGCAATCTGGGCTGCCTTACTGGGTTCAAACATCGTGCGGACATTCCATGTCCCCACGTTTACTTTCGCTTTCATCGAGAGAAGACACATCGGCCAATTGGCTTCCCGAAGGCTTTCACCAACTGGCGTCATTTCGCCTCTCCGATTCCAGCGGGGAATAAGTTTGTTTTCATTTTTTATATTTTGTTTGTGCTTTGAAGTTTCTTTAGCGGTTAGATTTGTTTTACGGGGTAGGGTTGCTAGCCCTATGCCCAACCTTCCCTCTTTACCCGGGCTTAGGACCGGCTAGTAACTAGTAAACTAGTTAACCAGGCGAGGTTTCTTTTTAACATAGGGGGAAAAATTCAATAATAATCCATTGATATGATTCGAGCAGTAACGTGGTTAACCAACTAACCGAGTTTTGACTTTCTTTATACTAAGTGAATATCAATAGCTTAAGTTTAGTACTGACGAATGGATAACTTGAACCATTCCCTCAGTAATGCGGGATCCATTTTTTATATTGATTGACTAAATGAACGGATTACTAAGTGACTGGTAAAACTTCCTACACCCCTTTCATCTAATATTAGAATGGCTAGTTTGAACATCCACTTGCCGTATGTAACGTTCAAATAATGTTTTGAGCAGTCTAGATATACTTCAAAATGAAAATACTTCTCTGCAGTATTATGAAATTTTTGAAATCTTTCACGGATCAAAATTAAGTCCTGAAACCCTTGACATATACACACACTAAGTAAAAGTACTGTGTGACTTTCAAAAAACAGTAAAATCGCGTTTTACATAGTCGTAATGGAAGTCGCACTCTTGGGATCGACATAAGAAGAGACCGATGAATACAAAAATCACATTTCTATATATCTAAGACCAGATTTATATATAAATCTGAATGCAATGAGGATTCATCTACCTTCATTATCTTTCCATCCTGCACTTCGGCATACGACAAGAGAAATCTGTAGTACTGCTGTAGTGAGAGCTACTTATGAGAATGAGTGTCAGTAGTATACATAGTAACATAGAAAATGATAACGATCAGTTGGTAAGTAAGTAAGGCAAAAGACCGCACAATATGAGACAGAAATATAAAGCGCAAGAACCGGGTGAAATGAAGTGCAGAATAAGTTGCAAATGGATAATTTATTGTTAGTTGTAGTAGTCTTACAATTATCAGCTGAATTTACGCACTAAACTTTCTCACTTTCTCAGTGACCTTCTCTTCAGTGTGGTCAAGAAATTCATGTCCGAATTGTGTGTTACGATATCACTTACTTAAAGGTGACTGGCATGCGTGTACATCTACCCATAGCTGGATGTATATAATAAGTTTGAGATGTGAAGAAACGCAAATTCTAAATTCCACTGCTAGCCACCATCAAGAAAATACATGTTACTGAAGCTTAAAATAATATCAAGGCATCTGCATTGCAGCCCATATGCTAACAGAAACCAGTCAGTTCGGTTCAGTCAATTAACCGTAAAGAACAAGTATATATATATATATATATATATATATATATATATATATATATATCCTACGATTTTTCAAGTAAATGCTTGATATGACAACGAAAATCGCATCTAAGGAACTTCTGTGCAAAAGGATGCTAACTTAATATAGATTATATCATTCCATTGATATAATAACACCAATAAGTATGAGCAAAGCTTCAGAGGTAATGGTAAATAAACACATAGTGCTATCAAAATAGGAGTAGGATGACTCTAGAAGTAATTCAAAATATACTCTTTGAAAGTAGGGGTCATTACTTTCATTCCATGTAAAAGTGACATTTTTATGACCAGATGTTGGCAGATATTAGTCTAGCCTGTGCTTATGCTGTTGAAGAGCTGTGTGTAGATGTCTGTGTGTTACACTGCTTCTCAGAATAAGAAGCACTTTACTAGCACTTGGTTGTACCTGGGTAAAGTAATGGCTACGTATGGTTTGTGAAGCTGACGATGAGTTACATTCGAAGGAATGGCTGATACTGAGTGCGCGTAAGTCTGATCATCAGCGAACCAGATCTCACCTACGAAAGCAGAAATGTAACGACCAGTTGTTGGTTGGTTTTTGCCTAACCTGTGGGTACGTTGTTGCAGGAGGATCAGCTGAAAAGCCTGGGTATGTTACAATATCATCTCATTCATTATGAGAAATGGGATGGTAGGTGTGACAAAATTCATTAATTTTCTTCACATAGTTCTGTGTTCATCTTCGGTTGTCCTTATAATATTCCACTTTTTATAACATCTGAGCATAAGAATTTACTAAAATATACACACTTATCATTAAGCATTATTATGGCGAAATGAATACCTACCTTCGATTAAAATTTGCCGACTTTCAGTGTATACGCAAATATCAACACTAATTTTAGACTTTAATTCATCCGATGAAATTTCCATTTTTTGAGAATGTAGCAAATTTGTAAGTTTCTTCCTTGATTGGAGAATTTCGATATTCAACCAAGTAAGAAGGAGTGTACTGTAAACGGTCTCTCTCAGCTTCAACTGACAACCGCAGGTAGTTTGCTTCTCGACATGGTAAACCGTTTTTCCATGACCCTTCATAATTTGGAAGCAAATTTGTCTTGTGTGTTAGTTTACCCTGTCCATTAGGCTTCCCAGATGAGAATTCACCCTGTGGACAATAAAACAGTGTTTAGTCAAGAAACAGATTAGCCAGCAAATCAATTCTAAATTATTGAAGGGTTCTGCTGAGACTTGTGTCGACTGATCATCTCACTTACGTTTCTTTTCGAAATGATGAAATATTAACTGACGAAAAAAACTTGAAATTTACGCATTAAAGCACTGCTACGTAGGTAATTTTTGAACCGTAATTCTGAGCTACTCTTGTTCATCTTTCTCTGATTCCTTTGGTTGGATAGTGATTACACTGGTCATCAACTGGGTGTTCTGTAGTCATTGGCTTCACAGCAGATAAAAATTATTAGTTGTTGAAGAATCTTAAAGTGTTGATAAAAATTAATAATGGAACAGATAAGCAGCTAAACCGTAAGGATTATGAAAGTGAGGAATTTAGTGTATGCTGTGCATTTCCATATCCCATATCGTTCATTATCACCGAAAATCTAACTGTCAGGATCCTGACTACGGTACCTGAGAGACTAGAAAATATGGTTCATTCCATTTAGATTGTACTTGTACACTTTAGCATGAATACCCACTTTACAATTTTATTTGAACTGACTGATGATGTTTAGGGCAAACTGTGATAATGCTGGACTTATAAAGAGGCGAGAAAATAGTTCCCACTAGCAGTGACGGGTTATTTAGTGACATCATCTGCGATGATGAACAAAAAAGTCAGTTTGATGACAGAAAAATGGTCATCATTTAAGTACCACAACTGTTTGTAAGTAATATATAACTTTTCTATTTAGCATCAAATTCATAACTTCTGTTTGCAACACCTCTATCACCAACGTTATGCCTGCCTAAACAAGACAAGAATAAAATGACTGGACTTTCCGTTTGATACAAATTATGCATCTGGAACATAGGACTATTACCCAGCTTCTTGTTTCCCTGTTGGTCTTTTGAACATTGTGATAGATGGTCTCAATCTCTGTTAACCATCGAAATGTTTACTGAAATAAAAGGATAATACATAGTATTCAGTCACTTTTATAGTCACAATACATGTCGCTAAAGATCTTGAACTCAACCTTTAGAAATCATCTTTTCGTTTCTCTAAGTTACTTTGTGTCATTGGTACACAAGTCACTGGTGATAACATGGTAAGACGGTTAACTATTGCAACTCCTTAATACCAAATACATTTTTAAAGTGCCAATAAACCACAGACTTTGACATAGAATTAGAAGCCGGTGCTAATTTTCCCTCAGTAGCGTTAATAAAACCAGCGATAAATTGTCCAAATTTGTGCTAAAAATGAGACATTAGTAGATGGTTGTTTTAGTGTCTCTTACAATCATGTTGTAATATAAGTTATCTGTATCTTTGTATTTACATTTAACTAGGAATAAAGAGGAGGTAAATAGAAATTTAGGGGGAATGCAGCAAGACAACAACAATGTTCACTTTCTCCGCATAATTTCACCTTAGATACATTCACTTCCTCCTTGAAAACATTACTTCCTCTTTATTATCAACTTCGGATAAAATGAAATACTAGTTGTGCAAATTCGCCTGGATTCATTAAGTCTTGTCACTGCATGACGGCTTAAGCCAGTAAATAATTCAGTTTATTCTCAGTGTTGACTCAGTGTTTAACGCTGTACCGAGTGATTGCCAGTCCAGGGATTTTGAAACAAAATGACACTGAGTACAATCAATAGAATCACACTTTCTTCAGTTCGGTCAATGAATCCTTCTATGTAATACTGAATGGATGTGACAATGCATAGATTTACGAGACTATCTCTTGATCAAATAACGATAATTGCTCAGCCTACCATTTTTGGATATCCATCTACAGTCGATTATTGCTGTTCTCGCTCAACTACTAAGTACCTCGTCACTCATATAATATGTTATTTTTGTCACAGTAGACGTACGCCTTGCTAGGCTTTCAATTTAATATAAGTCTATGCTGTTTCAGACTTGGTTCTGCATTAATTAAACGAGAAATTTATGAAAACGTTTTGCAATATATGAATTTATCCATAGCTCTTCACTTCATTATTTATAAGATTAATTCTGTCGTAACTATAGCACTTCATGAAAAAATATAATGCTGAAAATAGTCAAGATGGTAAAAAGAGAAATTGACGCGAAGAATGCTAGTGACCTTGTTTAAAGTTGTGCAATGAAACTGAAAAAACCTAAATTAAATTTCAACATGTCAAAAACAAAAGTTACAGTTACATAAATCTCATTTGGCTCAATCTTTCTGTCATCTCGGCGTCTTATAATATTGGTACATAAACAACTAATGATTCACTAAGTAATATTGATAATAAAATTAGAGGTTAACTGTTTTCACAAAAGTTGATTAGACATTCATTGGATGAACAATGTGCTTTATCACGTATTTGATCTGTGAGTCACAACGGTAATAATCGACTGTGACTGGATATGTGAATTCTTTAGGTTGAGTAATGATCCTTAGAAGATTAAAAGTCAGTCTGATAAGTCTGTGCAGTTTCGTATCTTTTCACAATTACGCAGGAGATCTCACTTGCTGAGCAGAAGAAGGGGCGATTCTATAAATGTCACTGGTTCACAGAGTTAAACGTCAGATTGGTACTAAAATGGGAGTTTCCTCTGGATACATATGTTACTTCCAACTGTTTCCTAGTCCTGAGATTAGTCAGGAGAGTCTGAGAGTTGATCAGTCTGTTACCATATGATGAGAAACAATTGTCTTGACTTGGAATCTGTTCACGCATCACGACTCTGTTTGGAGTCGGCAAGATCATTTGAATAAGTGGCTATAGCTACTGGGTCAAGAATGTATCGTGAATCATTCCGAATGAAAACCATTGATGGCTGTGTTGTGTCTTCCTGAAGTATTACATTATTGAAAAAGCGTGCAGAACTTTTAAAAGCTTTTTGAGTGTATTCCGTGAGATTGGGCTTATTAATTTTTATCTCTATCTTCCTTTTATGTCTTCATACTGTAGCCACATTGTTTTGAACTGAGTTTTTTTTGGTGTTTAACCAATAGTAATAAACAGGTTATTGAGATTCATAGCTTGCCAGTGTAGACATTGTTCAGAGAAAAAGTTAATAAACAGAGTTGAGTAGTGCAACTAATTAAAAGCTATTAGTTACATTGTCATTCAAATGTATGTCATATACAGTCCACTATCGACAATAATAAAAATCTTCCTCGCATCTTCCTGTGTTTCCCGAAGAAACTTCTAAAGCTTTTTATTATTTAAGCAAATATAAATGCGGAGATTTATAGATTATTATACAGAAAGATGGGAGGACTACAATAGTCACTTCATTCTCTTGTAGAAACAAAGTAACAAAAGAAAATTATGTTTAATAAAAGAAAACAGTCTGATTAGCCAGACAGAAACACAGTATGAGCTTATGATTTCTTGGAATGTTGATTCCAGCCGTATTGGGAAATGTAGACTTCCCATCTAGGATCATTGTTATTCTGGATGATATTGTCCCAGAATCGATGCCAGCAGTGGAGATGCTTCCATACATTGACTTCACCTTAACCGCCATGCAGAATATCATTGCTGGTTACTTCGTTCGTGTTTTCCTTTTATGACTTACTGCCCCTTTTCATCATCTTCTACCTTATTTGTCTTTCTTTTATCAGTGTACTTATTACTGTGATTATTCGATGTGCATCACAGCACTTGATACCGTTACGCAATAATGCCAGGTCCCACATTGGTGCTAACCGACTAACTGACTATCCGCTCAGTCCTAAGTGTATCTAGTACATCTACGTAACCTAAAGTACTAGATGTCGTATATCATTGCTAGCTATGGATGTGGTTTCGGTCAGATTATAAAAGGTATTAATTTGATTCCATCCCTTAAAAACTTGACTATTACCTCATATGTTGTCCCATTTATTATTTTCAGGACACCCATGCCGTCATACAGGTTGTCCCTCCAGTAACCCCAGTATGCAAAGCTTTATTTAAGTACCCGTAAAGAGAAAAGTGAATTCTACATACGCGTGTGACCATAAACATCCTGCTCCATTTCTTTTGTTGGCGATAAAACCACCGGTATATTTACTTCCATCCGCCCCAATGTATTTGCCCTGTCCTTTGACGCTAAATGTATTAGAGGCATTTATTACCTTGTTGTAAGTTGTGAGACCAATCTCCTTCATAAATGGATCCATCCGCATAGTTCATTCGACCATATCCGTGTCGTTCTCCTAGCATAAACTGACCGATATATTCATTTTTCGATAAAGCATAATATCTCCTTCCTCTACCACTTATCTCACCATCAATAAAGTTCCCTTCATAAAAACTTCCATCCTTCATAGAGAACTTTCCATTTCCTAAAATTTTAGGCAAATCAACAGAACTCACCGCATTTTTGCCATCCTTCCAATTACCTTCATACTTATAATACCCATTCCCGTAGTAGTAAGTTCCAACACCTAATCTACTATAAGGGAAAAAAGCAAATACCTACCATTACGTTTGTCTTTGTAAGTCTGTCCAATATAGAACCCTGTTGACATAATTCAGCTTATAGAAATTTTGATCTCTGAAGATATTTGCTTGTCAGCTGAAAGCGGACAGCTACTGTCCAGTGTTCAATCATAAAAAGGAGGCCATGCCACTTACTTTAATCCTCCAAGTATGTATAGATTTGAAAACTAAATCTCGCTTAAGTTGTTCACCAAAAAGGTTGACATAACCTATTGTATTGAAAGAACGGGTTCACTAACTGACTTCTGGATGATAAGTGCAAGTTTCGACCCGAAATCAGTTTGACTTTGGGTTGCAAAACTATATTTGGTGGTCTTAGAGAGTGAATATTTAATATATATGTACAGAGAACACTGTCTATAATTCATCAGATGTAGAGATAAAGAAAAGTTCAGGACGTTTCAGTAGTTCATAGCCTTATAGCTATTCGGTAGAGCAACTGAATATATGATAGCACATAATTACTTAATATCAACAGCCTTAGTTTAATGATATCTGACATTGATACTAACACTCATGTTTTAACAGACTTGTTTAGCTGAAGGCACACAGTCAAGCGTGCTTGCCGTATGGTACTTTATGGTGTTACATTTAGATACCCTTTTGCGATCCTCTAGTCAGTTAGCTGACGGATCTCAGTATACTGGCACAATACGATCAACATACGATTCCTATCTACCTATGAAGCTGTGTTGTTTCCTGGTCGTTTTCTTTGTAAGAGGGTTTCAGTCACTCACCACCTGGTAGAGACACAAGTTCGCACCAACCTCGTTCAATCTTCCGCATCTGAATTCGCTGTGTGACACCCTAAGAGAAAGCTTATCTTGAAAGGGGATAAAAACAAGACAAATAGGTGCGGAAATCACTATTGAGATTACAAAATTCGATTATGAGGTTACTCACTTTCCTATGATAGAATAACGGGAAGGGTTTTAGTGTATCTGAGCGTTCTACATGAAGTGAATTAGAAGTTCAGCCACCAGCCAAATACCTAAATACCTAAGGACACGCTAAGAGTTGTCAGTATTTTTCAAAGACGTGGACTGAATACCTAAATGCATTACTTTAACTCGGGTTTAATGTGTGCAAAAGACAGCATACTGAACATATCCTGATCAAAACTTTTGAAAAGTCTGGGAAGAGACTACACTACCTGAAAACTTTTAACTTCAGCTGTAATACATAGTGTGGATATTTACATAAAGCAGCTTACGTAAACACGTCATTCATTTCCAAAACTAGAGATTTCGACGTACCTTCAAAAAATATTGGTAATTACTGTGATCAGCGTGCATTACTGTACTTTTGCTAGTAGTTCATTTCAGACAAAAACGTTTAAACCAAGAACCTTTATGGTGCATACTTATCTGCATCACTCCAAATGGCTCCACAAACTTGTATGTTGTCGGAAAATAGAAGTACCAACGATTCAGGCAATTCCTGTAATTCAATAACATAAAAAACTGATCCATGATCCTTCTTTAGGAAACCCCAACTCTCCACAGGTCTCCACTTAAATCATGTCTTCTTTACGCCCACTGTTTGCGCTATATAATACAGAAAGTTCTTAGTTCTGGTACGTAACTAAACATCAGATATCTTACTGAAAGCCTTAAGGCAGTCTGTGAACGTTGCGTCTGCTAGCGGTTTATTATCATGAGCGGATGAATCCACACATCTTAATCTGAATCGTCATACCGAATTTGATCATTTTGTTTTTTATTGTTATGTCTTCACTTTACACCATTTTCGACTATTTTCTCATTTCTTTCTCTTTTTCATCCATAAGTTTTCCATCTTGACAAGCTGATATGCAGTGAGGCAGCTTGAATGGGCATCCAGTTTCCCGGGACTAACCTCGATGCTGAATGACAAACCTATTCCCACCTGCCAATGAGGCCATTCGAACAGGTATTCCCAGACCAAAATTCTCGTTCATCTAGTGCGAAAAAATCATTCCTTCACCGAAAACTTAACTGTATAACATAGCAGTGCATCAACAGTTAGAGAATCGAATATGAGTTAGTGTAAACCCAATGATTTACTCGCACTCCCTTCCTAGTTTTTCGGAAATCACCCCGGTCTTTTCTGAGCTTCGGTGCAGCAGGCACAGTTAATCACCTTCCCTGACTGTTAAAACTTAGGAGAGGTCCGGTGTTAACCTAACTAAAAGCAAAATTCGTGACTTATCGTGGGACGGATACAAATAATTCTATCAAAACCAAACTGGTGTTCACGTATGAAAGCTTATGATAAGAACATCTGTGACTAGATTCCTTGTATGAATACGTTTAAGACTCAGTTTTACAACTGCAAGACAGTTCACGCCCTTTCAATATGTAATATACTTTACACAAGTATGGTAAACTGGTGGTTTTGAACTCTCATATATAGTTCTTCAGCCTAGGTTCGTTATTTTGGTTTTACTCCTTATTTGGGCATGGAAATCCCTCCAACATTTCTGTGTTTACCTTTCCAGGGATTCAATTGTTTGTACGTGTTTACGCTTTTTATTTTGCATACTGGATGTGTAAAGAAACGGCGTAGCTGCTGAGAGGATCGACTTTATATCCGCAACATTTCTTGTTGTTAGAGACTCCGGTCATAATAGGTGTTCTTGAATCCGTTCTAGTCTTTACCATCGTTTGTTAAACGCCATGTTTTGATGTAATCTGTGATTAGTAGGTTGGGGGATGAGATCCTGATAGGCAGGTGGTTTACAAAAAGCAGAGATATATGTGAAAAGAGAACCACTCCCTGAAACATTCATCCATGTAGATCGGCTTCTGTTGACGTTGGTGAAGAATTTCTTACTCTTCTAGCATACAGCTAATCAAGAGATTAGTGGTTACCTGATTCCCACTTCTGAAAGTTTCGTTAGTAACTTTCGTGTGGGACGCCATCGAAAGTTTATACTAGGTCAAGAAAGATTACTTGAACCTTTTGATTATCACTCCAGCTAGCTATTAAGTAGTCCAAAGAGTTGAGTTGGTTGGTAGTACAAGGTCTTCCGTCCCTGAAAGTATGTTGAGCGTAGCAAAAGGTGTTGCTACTAAGAGCGAATTGCTAAACAGCATCTGCTATCAAGTTTTTCAGCACTTTGAAGAGAACGGATAGTATGGTCTGTGCCTGGTTTGTGTCTTTCTTGTCATCTTTCAATATTGCTGACAAGACAACTAGCCTCCCCTCACTTGTTTTCCGGTTCCTTTTGACTGAAATTGTGAACAAGTTGCAAACAGATAGGCACGGTTCATCAGTACCGCGTATCTAAGCTCATAACAACCTGAAATTTGCCTACTTTCAACTTGGACAGATTTTTAAGCCACTAATTACAGGGATTTTAATATTGTGCAATTCCTCATTGTAACCGTTAGGTAGCAGAACGTTCGTAGTTAGAAGTGGCTGTGAACGCTTATCATTAACATTTGGTTCCACCTCAAGTAGTAAATTCGGTACTTCTTACTCTTCAAGTGTTTCATATTGAGAATCACATTGTTTTCAACATCCATGTTTGTTGTTCACCTCTGATATGAAGCGATATAAGTTTATGCGGCTATTTTGTAGCCTTTTTGTCAGGTTCCTTTAGTATTGGTACTTAACACTCTGGATCCTGGTGTTACATAGAGGTGGTTGACTGCTGTTCGGCAAATCTTTTCAACCGGAGAAAGTTGGACTAAGTTTAAGGATAATATAATAAATGTTGGTATCACTTTCATGGACTCCACTCCACAAGGTACCTCATTCCATGTTGTTCACAAGACTGGAAATTTTCGGGACTGCTGACAATTTGCTTGCAAGGATATATGAGTTCCTCTTGCAAAGGTGAAGAACATAGATTATTACTCAACATTCCTCCTGGAAGCTGATGCAGAGCGGAATAAAGCGTAGCAAATCCAGAGTCCCCTACTGCTTCTTCTATACGTTAACAAACTGATGAATATCAAGAAATCTCTCATGGTGATGTGAAAATCTGAAGAGAAATTAGAGATGAAAAGTACTTCCCATAGTTACAGTTTGGTTGAAGATCTGATGAAAAAGAAATAACGTAGGGTCACAGCCTTCTAAAACAAAGTTTCAGTTTTCGGTGAAAAGGGTAGTAGCCTACTAGCCTTGGTTACTCTTTGCTGTTGTTACCTGCGTGAAGATCCAGTTTTTCCTTGAGTCCGATCGTTAAAGGAATTAGCTACCACTTGTTTCAGTAAGTAGCTCCGGTCACTAAACACTCTGTGGGAGAACCGGTACTGCATCCGAATATGATTCGACCGAGGCCCCTAAATATTTTTTTCGAAATACTCGAAAGTGATTTGGATCACTTTATTCAATCTCTCTACTATTTCTAGAACGGCCGTCTTATTTAGATTGAATAATTCAGTGCCTAGGTCATAATTTAGAGTTTAAAGGGCTGAAATGAGGTTGCTTCTTCTCCTAGGATACGATAAGGGAAAAAAATTATCTTGCTTATTGCTTCTTGTAATGAAGGTGGGCAAGACCTGTCACTGCAAATCTTAATCTAAAATCATGACTTCCACTTAAACCACGTCAGCTTTTTTGCCTTCATCAGTCTATTGTTTGGGTGACGGACTCGTGAGATTGTTGGAGAAGACCATGTTACGTCTAGAAGTAACTACATCAGCTCCCAGCCAGCATTTACTTCGAGGGCACTTACAAATTTCGAATTTTTGGGCGCACTTTGGAACTTTTGACAGTTTCGAGGAAAAGGTTAGAAATATTCAGGGAACATCGTACGTTCCTCCGCTTCAGACCGGAGTAGACTTTTCAGGCTTTTGCCTTAAACTTACAAAATTAGTCCGAATGAAATGCTGGTTGGGGTGACACAGAAATACAGGTAACCTCTGAGATTCGGCTTTTTTATTGATAAATATTGCAAGAATCGTATAACAAGTCAGCATATGACGACTTCCATCTCTTGTTTCGGAAATATTCTTTAAAAGCTAAATTAGAAGCAGAAAACCTACACAATGTGAACACTTTCAGAAACGACTAGTCAGAGTTTGCATACACGAACAGT